GCGTATATTACAAAGAACGAGATTAATGAATAACATTTGTTCTCCAACGAATGAGTTTTCAATGGAAGAAACATTCAAACCCGAAATGTTTACGTTGTACGTCATTCGAATCTTTTGATTTTGTGTTTCAGAATATATATATATATATATATATATATATATATATATATGTATATGTATATACAACGCAAATATTAGATAGATGTCTCGTTAAACGAGTGTATTGAGAAACTGAATTTGCTTATCTCTGCTTCAGAAAGTCCTATGTGTCATAAATGCATAAGGTCCACAATCTTATTATAACATGGACCATACTTATTATCCAACAATTTCATATCTAAATAAATTTTTAATTTATGATTTTGGATAAACTTTTCTTCCAAACTATTTCGAAAACGTTGAATTCTGAACGCCATCCATGACGCTGTCATGAAAAGCATCGAGCAACGTGGATGCAAAAAGACGAGGAGGGAGATGAAAGAGGGGCCGGTGGATAGGGGGTGGGGGCAACGTGCATAGGAACGACCATTTAGATAATCTATACACGCGCGGTGCAACGTGCGTGGAGTCTGTGCCAACAGCTTGCAGCAATCGTTTTATTTTATCTCTCTCTTTTTTTTTGTACATTCAGCTTCCTCGCCTGCGCGGCCCCTGGGATAACAACGTTTTCAAAACGGACCTGTACTTTTTTTTACCTGCCCGCGATTTAAATATATTACAGTAAAAAACGGACGCGCGATTCGGTTGGACCCGCGTTAGCGGGCGAAATTCGTTCGCTCGGCAAATTACATTCGATTCGAATCGGATCTCCGACCCCCCCCCCCACGCTCTGTGAATTCGCGGCCGATCGCGGAACACAGCAGGCTGTTAAGCAAATTTGTCGTGAAACGGATTAACCCGTAATTACATCGAAATATACCTAAATGGTGTGGGAACGTTTGAACGGGGTTCCGTCTATTGTTCCATTTCGATGCCGGATTAGGTCGACTCTTTTCTGTTTTTTTTTTTCACACTCTCGCTCTAAATCGGGTCGACGACAGGTCCTGAAATCCCGAAATCGTTCGACCGTCTACGATCAGTCGCCATTGACGCAACATAGATTCACGAAAGCCCAATTTAAATAAAAACATCGTTCCTATACTTTTCACGGAACGAGAAGAATCAATTAAGAGCAACCCCGAAACTCGATCCAGCCGTCGATCATTACTTACAAAGAGTTATTGTTTAAAAAAAGAGAAGAAAGAAGGAAGCGATCCCGGTATCAGCGGTAGAGAAGCCAGTTTCAACTCACCCCCCTCTAGTCGACGAGGGTGTTCCAACCCGGTCGTTCGTCCTACGACGGAGACGAGGTTAAGTTAGGTGTGATCTCTTATCGGCAACCGTGGAGTAGTGAGTCTACCCACGTTCCTCTTATCTTTCTCGCTTCCCGATTCCCCTCTCCGCTGTTGGAACTTACAACCCACCCATACATATACGTGCGATACATATTGTCGTTCCGATCTAAGAACCTGCCGTCGAGCTGCACTTACCTATAGAAGTGGCAACCATCGATTCGTCGTCATATGTATGTCCCTCGATCGCGAGGGTTTCGTCCCCGTTTTTTCCAAGGCGGTTCCCGTTACTCGAATCGTGTCGTACCCGGGCGACTTTTATGGGTTCGGAACTCCCATGCCCCTTTATCGTCGATCGACCGACAAGACGCCTCGCTCAAACACACTAGTTTATTATAACAATCATTTCACGAGATCCCCGTTACGTGCCCTTGACAGACGCTCGTTTGACGTTACTTTCTTTGAAACAGTTCTGGAAGTTCGTACCGATCGTAACGAGTCAGCTTTGGGCAAGCCCAATGATTTTGAGAATGTACGGTATTGTTTACATCAGGAAACAATGTGATTACCCCTCGTGCACTGTTCCATAAATTGCTCCATTACTATTACTCGAATTAAACTTGGTCTGAGCTAAAATCGAATTAGGGAAATATTCTTACACGGATTTGATTGTTTATACGTACACATCTAACGTCAAATTAATTTACAAGCTTTTCTGATTAAGAGTTCTGATAAGAAATACCCCACTTAACTTTAAAAGTTGTAATTATTTTAACGTGTTACAATATATAATATATTAAATAATATTATTTATTTATTTATTAATGGAATAAATACCCTTTAGCACAAAGTTACGACAAATAAAGTATAATGCAACTATTATAATAAAATAGATTCTTCAAAAATAAGTGTTCATGTTGGAACGAGGTATGCGATCTAGCGTTATTAAATCTGAGTTTGAGTCAAGTTGACCCTAACAATGCCCTAGAGTGCAAACTGCACAACATTTCCAGGGACATCCTAACATTCTAGGGACACTCGATACAGGAGCACTGCTTCAGATCCGACGATGATCGTGAATATAATTACGTTAACGTATAACACTGCCACCGTCGCCGTCACCTGCGTCGATCAAGTGGCAATTACGAGCTAACAGACAGTCCATGTGTCTCAGCGAATCGGTATCTACTATCGCGTGTAACGCAACGCTCGTCGAAATACCAAGACTTCAACCGGTCCCGTGATAATGAATAATGCCCCAGGAACGCAATTTCGCGCCTCCCTCCTCGATCCATTTTGCAATCGAGATAACGGCCTAAGTAACGCTTATCCCGTTGCCCCGCTGGGATTCGAGGATTTATAGCCAAGGCTCGTTAATCTATCCCGCTCGCGAAACTTCTGACGAGCCCTCGTTGCTACTGTAAACAGAATTAAGAGGCGGGTAAAGTTTCTTCTATCCACGCAAAAAAAAAAAGGAATATCCTACGTCATCGGGCTGCTTCGTTAAACAAACTGCCTAGCGGGAGAAACAGCGTTTCTCCCCCGATTTTTTCGTAGCTCCTCCTACTTGAACAGGAGACTGTGGAAAGTAGACTCGAACATTGTGAGCGGCTACTGAAAACGCGTTCGGTTCCCTCGAATCGGGTGTGGGGGGATCCAGTTTCTATATACCACTTCTCGAAAAACTCAGTCAGCCGGACGAGCCGTGTGGAAGCGAAAGTTTTCCGAACTGGATGCGTCCTAGGTAGTGGCAACGAACGAGATTGAAATACCCTCTCATTTCTATCCCTGCCAGCCAGTTTCTTCTTTTTTTCCACTTTCCATCCCCCAACCCCCGAACCCCACCACAGCCATCGTTTCCTTCCTCCTTTCTTCCCGCATTTTTCCTCTTCCCATTCTTTCAGTTTTCCTTCGCTCGTCTACCGTCTTGGTGGGGCCCAGAGCGCAGCGTCGCTTTTATCCCCGTGCACGACGTGCGCCACGTCCGATTTGTAATTCACCGAGCTTCAATGGGAGGGGGGGGGGCCTTGGCACGCGGCGGGGGGGGGGGAGACGAAAGTTACGGGGACGCTTATGCAGCCGTCGAGACGAGCGTAGGGGTAGTTGGGGAAAGGGTGGTTGCGGAACGGAGAGGGAGATATATAAAACCGAGCACACGATGGGGATCGCGGCCCGATAGGGGCTGTAAGTACGTTAACTTTACCGTTTATGTTCGACGAACGAGAAACACCGTGGATTCGAGTGAGAAAAGTCAGCTGGAAAGACCTCGCCCTTCCCGCCCTTCCCCTTTCACCCCCACCCCTCTACCGCGGGTTGTGAAACGCGATTTTTTTACGATTCCCTTCTGCTGAGTCTGTCGTCGCGGATTTCGCCTGATCGTCGACTCGGTTATTGCGTAAGATCTGTGCCGTCTGGAGGTTTCTGAGTTTGTCGGTGTAGTAATTGCGAAATTCTTCGCGACGTAGTATAGCGTAAATAAATATTAAGGTTTGTACGAAGAAATTGTGATGTTTCGTGAAAATTATACATATGTTTTAGGTCACTCTAGTATTTTATAGCAGCGCAATCGTTTCCCATTGAGCTTTAATATCCTCTAAACAAAATTTATTTTTTGTTTGTGTTTAAATGTATATTCTTATTGACACGTGAAAACGTTTATTGTTTGCAATTACAACATTACAGAATTCCGTATATACACTTAAGTGTTTGATGAAGGTTAAACGGGTCTTTATCTTCGTTGGGACTTAATAGAATAGTAAATATAGTAAACAAAACCCTGGTTGACTCCAATTCTTGTAAACTAGCCCATGAAAATCTATATTTGTATAAATATCCACAGTCTATATATTACAATTAACGATAGAGTAAAGTAACAGATGTTTTTATAATATAATCTGGGAACGATAAACTTATTTTGAAAAGGGTGGGTGTGTATTTTTAAAGATATACAATGGTTTTTAATTATGCGTTTGTAGTTACGTATAGTTAGAGTTCGTTTAACTTTCTCTTCGGGATATCATGCAAGTGATAACGCTAAGATAAGCAAGCGTATGTTTTCTGGTGATCGTAGCGTAATCCGATGTAGTCCAACGTTCCCCGTAAATTGAACCCGATTGCTCACTAACTGATTGATTTAAGGTGGCCAAAGACTCGCTGAAATTTGATTGCTTCGGAAGTTGCGGGCACTGGCAAGAGAGTTAATCCCGATACCAGGGACCTGTTAAGATTAATTTGCTGCATAATTCCTCAGAAACTTCTGTGTTCGTGAAATGTAGCTGTATGGTATTCGCTATAGGGGATAAGAATTACGTTTGTAACTGTATATGCAGTTTGATAAACTGTTTCAATCCTTTATCATCTAGCGAATCTATTAAATTACGTAGAAAATCGATTGATAATGCAATAGTTCATTTTTAAACATTATAAAATAAAAGAAAAATCTCCATGAATGTTTCTCGACGTAAACTTAGTAATTATATCACGATGCACCGTCGCAAATCCAATTAGTTGCAAACTTTAACATAATTCCAAATCTCTTTGAATGTTCTATTTTTTGCTTTAATTTTTTCCCAACTCGGTGAGAGATCCGTTTCAAGTTAAATTGTCTGCGGAAAACGATCCGTGTTCGTCAGGTCCCTATTAATTATTAAAAAAATGAGACTCGTTAAAATGCGGCGATGCATCAGCTTGCACGAGGATCGATCGAGTACACTTCCTCGAGTGTTCGAGCCACCGCTTGGCAAGTTTCGTGGTAATTTTCGAATATTTCTGAAAATTAATTTAATCATTGCATTAGGGTACAACGTAGAGGTGGACGGAGTCAGAGGTGTGGGGAAGGATTCGGGGGCGTCGAAAAGCCTTTTAGGTGCTCCGAAACTCCCTCATACAGAATTCGAAAGTTCTGATTACGTCACTTTATCCTGTCTGCTCGAGATAATATTCCTTTTTTTCTCTGTTTCATCGTTCTCGAAATTAAATAGTCAATTCTCTGTTTCAGGCTTGCGACAACGCTCCGGTCCCACCGACACTCCGAGGGGTGGTAAGTTTGGCGATTGTTATAGCTAATTCCTATTTAATAGGTTCATAATACCAGTGACTTTTGCATAACACAACGATTAGGATCGAATAATTTTTGCGTATGCCAAATCCGTGTTATACCTGATTAACGATAAGTTAACGAACACCAATCCGTCGATATTCAATGATATACGAATAGTAATATGATTATAATGGTAAAGTAATATAATTTGTGTATTCAATATATATATATATATGTATTCAAATATTGAATCGACTAAACTTTATGCAAAAGTAGCCAGATGTAATTAATTCAGCAATAGGAAGCGTGCACGTGGTTATAACGCAAGTCTATATGGGTTCCAGGATTAAACGAGTAGATTTTCACTCAGAGTCAAACATAAACCGGGAATCAGCGTAGAAATTCAAATGGACGTGGCCTAAACGAATTTGTAGTGTCCCAAAGCGTGGATTTAAACGTTAATTTTCCGAATAATATCCTTGGCTGTTGGTGCTCGTTCGCGGCACTCATTACCGTAATTGACGTAGGCCTCTCGATTAACGAGGGCATTTTGTAGCTACGGGAGCCACGAAAAAATGAACGGACCGGCAATAAATTTCGCCGGGAATGTCAGCGAAATAAAGATGTTAAAGCGTAACCGTCAGCCTCATAAATCGTTGACTCATTTCCACCGATACTTTTAACGCGCGCGCGTACACTGCGTGACGTAGAATCGGGCATGGCGTGATAACGAGACACCCCGGATTATGTTTCTCATTATAAGAGAAATTGGAATATTCGTTTATTAAGGGAATAATTATTTTAATACGAGTGCGTTTTACTTGTATCGTGTTTGGTGCACCAATTAATAAATTGTCACAATGTTGTACATATTCAATCTTTTCAAATTGTTTCTAAACTATTTTTAAGTCAAGAATCAAATAGATATTTGATTCTTCTGTTAAAGGTCTTGAAGTGGTGAGGGTACAAGAGAATTGAGTCAAATCAGTATTATAAAATACAGTCGAAGATTGAAGACGATTCTAATACTTCATTTCATTGTAGAAGAATTATCGATAAATGACGTTCGAATTTTTAATACATTCGTATTTCTCGTCGTTGCTTCAAAATTTGTAAGATTGAAAATGCATGAATAGAAATGATTTCATGTAGAAGCTGTTTTGAATAGCGCGTATATCCCTCCAATATGTAGGTACGAAATATAAACGAAGCAAAATCAACGCTCGGAATCGATTTTTCGACCGGGAACGACCGAACGCTTTACACGAGTTTATCGTTGGTTGTCGAGGAGAATGAAATTTCTACGTTCCTCTAGTGAAATTTGAGCATTACGCTTTTTTCCCAGAGTGCTTCGTTACTTACGCAGCAGTATTGATTTTCATTCACGCACAACGCGGTGAATCGACCTATTATATTATTGGTTTACATGTAAATTTTAATCTGCTGACCATGTTCTATTGGCTGGTACAATATCAAAATTGATTTCTTTATTTGTTTAATTTCACAATATAAAAATTGAATTGGAAGGTGATATTATTTCCGGAGATATAGTATACTTATTTTATTATCAAATAACGTTGTTCAATTTACACAAGTGCGTAAAATACAGAATATCTGATATTAAAAACCTGACTTTACTTCCACTAAAACTCAAAGTATAGTATTAAAGTCAGTATGAACCCTCGGGCGGCAGTGTCCGGGTCCATGTTGATCCATGATTTCAGAAACTTCATGAAAGTTGGTAGAACTTAACCGATACATACATACAGTTGTTTATATTAAGATTTTATAAGAAGACAATTTCCACAGTTGATGCTAACGCATAGTGAGCCAACCTTCTTTGACTCACTACCCCTTTTCAGTATTTTTTTCCAGTATCCTCTTTAGGTAAACTATCTCTACTATTGAAAATTCCAAGTGTAGTTTTGCGTGTAATTGTTGAATCTTAAAAAGCTAGACGAAAAGTAAAGAAGATAAAATAACTAGAACGCCCCCAGATATCTTCAGCTTCCACGTCGAGAACCTATGATCTAAAGTATCAACTCCACTTGACTACCTGATTGCCCACTATGCACAATTATTTCACCCATCCATTTTTCATACCATCCATCAATACAATGTAGGTAAATGGAATTCACAGCAAAATCAATCGATATTTCTTCGCGACCGAGTAACGCCTACGATCGGTATCTCCGTCCCGATTCGTTTCTCCGTTGGCAATTCCGTGCTGGGACTGCCGTGGTTCAGGGAGTAATGTATTCCGTTAGCGGCAATCCACGGTAAAACCACGGTGAAAGCATCCTTTTCCTCTGTCCGCCCGTGCACGGACGTTTCCATCAAAAGGTTCGGAAGGGGGGGGGGGGCGAGCGACGTCAGCCGGGCTCGCTTTCGGGCAACGACGTGAAAGTTAAATTGCTTCGGCCCCGACGTCATCGGCGGAATTTTTGGTTCTGTTCCCACGAACCGGGACGAAGTTAGGCGGGCGAACCCCCCCCTGCGTATTTGCTGCCTCGGTCCCATGGACACTTTAGATATTCGAGTCTTGGCTCGTTTAAAGGGGCATCAATCTAATTGAACCGTGGATCCCTTTCACCTGGGGTTGAGCATAGATGTAAAAGGGTGAAATCTGGCGATCGAGGTCGAAAAGAAGGAAACATCGGAACCGGCGTTTCTCTATCTGTAGGATGATCGGAGGAATATAATATAATAAATATATATGTATAATCCAGTGTAATGAGTATGGAAATACTAAAACTGTAGTACAGACAGTGCAGTATAGAATTTCTTTATGAAGCAACGGCTTTCTCTTTAAAGAAAATAACAAAAGTTTGTGAAATCATGTTATGTTATTTTTAGTGAAAGGATTACAAAGAGATGGCTACAATAGACAGACGATCGAGGAAGATATACTTTCAAAGAGCGCAGGATCACTTTTTATGAAAGAAATAAATTGAAAATGGAAAATTTATTTTCTCTTGCAGTTATTTGTGAGAAACATACATATGTCCGCTCGCGTACATTTCTTTGTCAACAGAGAAGCTAATTGTGCTCGAACTATATATAATACTATTTAATATTCGGTGCTCGAGCGAACGTTTTGCGTTTGGCATTATAAAATTCGAGTTCAAACGAGCATCGAAAAATCAGAGCAGGGCGTGCAATTGTCTCTCTGACGTCATTTTCTCCGGGCTATTTGAACTTTATCTCGGTCAAGCGATTTACAGAAAACGCTTTTTTAGAATTCATAGGTTCTTGACTATTGAAATTTTATGTAAATGGGATTTTAAACTCTGCAACTATATAGATAACCGCCTCGAAAAAAAAATCATGCAAAACAACATTGTAATCGATGTATCGTTACGACCATCCAATCAAGAGACTCGTAAACAAACAGTTACAATTAGACTGTGGAAATTAATGCCAATTCTAATGTAAGTTTCATCAAGCTAAAGATAAGATAGATGTGCCGCTCATTTTTATTAAAGTGCAGGTTTCAATTAATTTCCTTATTTGCATACGTCACGAATCCATAAACCCCCATCTAGTAGGTATATTAGCGTTCTTCTGTCGGTTTTTTCAAATAATTGCGAATAGAATCGGTCGAAATCATCGATTTTATGAGCCGCGATTTTACGAGAGTCAGCCATTGGCCGAAAACTATCCGTGCACGGATGGTCGGAGAGCATTCGTCAGGGAGCGAAAGTGGTTAACGTTTGAATTTGGTACTCGTATCTAATTCTGTTTAGCGGGGTCCGATCGAGATACGAGGGCGCGGACGGGGTTGCATCGTGCGGAGGAAAGTTTAAATTATCCTGTCCGCCGGGAGGAGGGCATCCTCCTCGGGGGAAACGTACTCGGATTGGTCGAGTCTGATTAGTTCGTTGGTCCCCGGCTCGTTTTATCCTCTCTTCTGCCGCAGTTCTCATCCTTTCCACGGTTTGGTAACTACCAAGCGCGCGGCTATGGGACAGAAACGTCCGGGTAAGGTGTTGCAATGGCTTTCCTTTCGTCCGAGCTAACCAGAAACTGCAAGAAACCAAGAGGGTCACCAATCTCCGATTCTCTTTCCAATCTCTTTCCGTCCGGTCCTATTCCTTCCTCGGTTCATTCGTTCTCTTCGAAAAAGCTCGCTAGTTGTTCCGCTGGTTCGTCGTATAGATATTAACTATAGATTAATCTATAGTTATTCGTATAGATATCCTCGGTGCACGGCCCTTGGAGACAACATATTCAGTTTAATTAATTCCCAGAACAGTAGAGACAGTGTTCGCGTGTCTTCGACACAGTGCGCACGCGTTGAATAATAGTCGGGGCTGTTTATTAAAACATATCGCGACGATTCATTAATTTACCGTGGTATCATCCGTGGCCTGGAGCGTCGTTCGTCCAGTTTTCCGAACGGGGTTTCCCTCCATCCGCGGAACCTGCACCGAAACGATATTTATTTATAATGTAGCGATAGAAGCCGTGGATACAGCGTCGATGAACGAGCCCCGCGATCACTGTGCACTCCCACCGACGTGCTCGGAATTGGAGGGAAATTGCATTCGCGTGAAAACGCGTGTCCCGTAAAATGTCCGATCGACTGGCGGCCCGTGTCCCCGGCCTATAACGTACGTTGCGGATAACGGGAAATAAACGGTACGAAATGAAACGAATTTAACTATCCGCGAAACAGATGCGAACGAGAGCCCAGCCGGGAGGATTCGTCTTTTTCGATGGTTCGGGAGGATAGGCTTGGTTCGAGATTAAAAGTTCCGGCGTCCTATTCAGTTCACGTGGTCCAGGGACACGCTACTAGTTCGCTATTACGGGTTTTAATCTTCGGTACGGGTGTTCAAGTTTTTTCGGTTCGCCGCGCAACCAACGCAGTTTTGACATTACCTTTGACCGGTCGGCCGTAAACATCGACTGCAACGTGTGTGCAAATTGTCCCGCGCACGAGGACGGAAAGTGAGAGTGATGATCCGAATTTTCTGCTGGCTCGGTCTCTCTCGCTC